GGGGGGGGGAGGTGGCAGCGCTGGGCACATTTGTAACAGAGCAAGCAGCATGGAAGGCTGATTGTCAGGGGCGGATCTGAACCCAAGCTGTCAGGGGGCGGTGCTGAGCGCAGGGGCTGACAGGCCTGTGATTTTTGAAAGGAACGTCTAGGGAGAGTGATTTCAAGTGGGAGATGAGTGTTATTATTAGATCACGACTGTCAGGTTCTTTATGATGTGTTCTCAAGGGATTTCATAACCATTTCGCCCTTAGTCGGGGCTTTCTGGCCAGGGGTGGTGGCCAGGGACCCTGCTGCTTACCTGGGGACAGGTGTTATATTATGTCCTGTGGAAGAATTTGTAAATAAGAATTTGCTAATAAGCATAACCCAGAATGAGCACAGGGCCTTTGGTCTGAGACCTGGAGAGGGGGACCACCTGCCAGCATGGAGCACAGCAGGCCCACCATGAGCGCAGCAGCCAGGACTCCTGAAACTTTACAGCCATAGCAAAGCCTGGCACAGCACCTCCCACCAATGTCCCCTGGGCATGTGTCTTCGTCCTCGATGCAGCACTCTGAGGCCGGTTCTTGCATGTTGTGGAACTGTCAGTGTTGACTGCTGAACTTGAATTCCTGTCCCTATCTCAGCACAGAAACACAATCTCTCAAGGAGCCACCAGCCTTCATGCTGACTTCTTGGACTGTCCAGTGTGACAATAAGCACGTGGGCCCCGCCTCCTCCTCTGTGTGGTCCCTCATTGGCTTCACCTCCCCATCATGTGGCCCCCTCAGTGATTCCCTCATGGGTCCCACCTTCTCATCTTGGTCTCGCCTCTCTGTCAGTGACTGCAGCAGTGGGAAATGTGTCAGAAAGATGAGGATGGTACAGAACTGGGTTCAGATCTGTTGTCCATAGACTCTATGGTATCTAACAACAGCCCATCAGAGTCATGACCTCGTTGGCCAGGCCTCTCTGTCTGTGTGGTCCTTCCCCCCCCCCCTCCGTTCATCTCTCACTCTCTTCCCCCTCCTCCCCTCTGGGCCCCTCATTGACTCCACCTCCCTGCCAGTGTGGTTCCTCATTGACCCTGCCCTGTCACTTGCCTCAAACGAGCCACTTCTTCCTACCGAGCCTACTTCCCTATCAGAATGGTCCATCATTGGACTCTCTTCCCATCACCCGGGCCCTCATAATGTTGCTGCCCTTATAACGTGGCTCTTCATTGGCCCCGCCTCCCTGCCGGTGTGCTACATCATTGGCCTCACTTTCCCATAAACTGGCCCCTCATTGACTCTGCGCTGTCACGTGACTCCTCTTTGGCCCTGCCCCCTGCCTATCTGGTCTTTCACTGGCTGCTCCTTCCTGCCCACTCCTAGACGAGTCTCCTTGCATTCAGGCGCGAGGCACGTGAGCTCTGCCTTTCCTCTGGTACCTTTTTAAATATGGATGATTTCACTGAAACGCCTCCTTATCTCCCGCTCCCTTTAGGAAACTTGACCTGCCTAGCGCAGCCCTGGACGCAGCGCGCTCAGGGGACTTCGAACTACAGGGCTATGGCTTTGAGGCGGCCAGGGAGCAGCTGAGGCCTCCTCGCACCGTGCGCGTGGGGCTGGTGCAGCACCGAACCCCGCTCCCCGCTGGGGCCCCGGTGGCTGACCAGGTGCGTGCTTGGCCCATATCTGGGTATGGGCCCACTGTGTCATGAATCCATCAATGGTCCTGTCTCAGTACCCTCAGACCACAACACTGCACCTACAGCACCGACCTCCCCTTTGCCGTCCTGTCACCCCTCACCACCCGCTCCAGCGTCCCCTCGGAGCCTCACCACTTGGGAGGTACACCACCCACAGCTGTCTGCCTGGGTCCCTGCTTGACTTGCAGACGGGCCGCAGGCGGAGGGGCTGAGGGTGCCTGTAGTGTGGGACCTCCCATGCCCTCCCAGTTGGTGTGGCAGTTTCATACAGACTTTCAAGAGGCTGGCATCCTCATTAGGGATGCTCCCTGCAGGCCTGTTCTTTGGGCCTGTACCGCCTGGCTGATGGCAGCAAGTGTGGAGCGTCTACTGTCCTCTTATGTCGTCCTTCACATCATGGCCCTTCTTCACTTTTGTCAGGGGAAAAGGTTCCTGGCCCCAGGCTGCTACAAACAGCTCGATGTTACAGAATTCTCCAGTATACCATGAAGAGTAGCCCACTACCATTGAGAGGACAGCCAACAATCCTGTGAACTTGAAACAACAGTTTCCTTAGTAAAGAAGGTCAACAGGGAGCATCTGGTTCCCATAGAACTGTCTGCACGGGATCAGGCAGCAGCTCCTCAGAAGATCAAGGAGGAACATAGAGGACAGCGAGTGGATAGTGGGGACAGTGAGCAGATGGGGGGACAGTGAGCAAATGGGAGGAGAGCACAGGAAAGGAAGACGAACAACTTGAAGAATGCAGTCAGTGTCACTGCATTGTACACAGACGACACATTCAGTGTGCCTTCTACTATGTGTATCCTCACAAACATTCCCTGGGAAGCAGCTCTGCCTGGTAACAACCCGGGATCACAGTGAGATGGAACCCACTCAGTGCAGCAGGTTTCGTTTGGGAGTTTTGAGGTAACTTAGGGTAAAGTAGTAGAAGTCCCTCCAAGAGCTGGGCCAGGAGTGGACGTGCACACACAGCATGGATCATGATGATGGTCAGGACCTACTGCCAGCAGAGGACCCTACCAGCAACCCAGATTGCCAAGCTGGCTTTGCATGGTGAGGCCTCGCGTGTGCAGACAGTGCTGGAGAGAGAGGGACAGCACAGGAAAGGCTTTGTGTTGGTTCACAGCCTGGCTCTCTGGGTGATTCCTGGGCAAACACTTCTGACTGTCTCCTGGGTGCTAGACGACAAGGCAGAGATACAGCAATGACCCCCAATGCCTTCTTCCTGCCCCTGAGGAGAGTGTGGGGTCATGAGAGTGGTAGGCAGTGACAGCACTGTGCTGCCCACAAGAGCCCAGGAGCTCCGGTTACCCTGAGACTTGGCCAGCTGCCGAGAGCAGGAGCGGAGGACCAGAGTCAGGAGACAATCTCTTTCCCACAGAGGTCATGGCCACACCTCATATGGGAGGACAGGGGTGACCAAAGCCTCCCCTCCTAGACAAGCTAGATCCTCTCTTATATATACCCCCAGGGACACAGGGTGGTGGGGTCCTCCAGCATGTCCTCAGCCAGGGCTTCTGGCCAGCTCATTCCTGTGAGAATCTGCACGTGCACCTCGATGTTCAACAAGAGCCTCAGAGATCTCATGTTGCTGGTCAGATGCTGCTGTGGACATGCACTGCCTGGCAACCATAGATTCAGACACAGCACGCATCTGCCTGGAAATGGGGACTGTCAACAGCGGATAACCTGGGATGAACCCACTGGAAGGCCAGGTCCTCCCTTCCGTGCCTGTCTGCACCCCACATGGCACTGTCCCATCTGGAGAGGATCCCCAGTAGCCCAGCTGTTTTCACCTCCCACCTGCTAGGAGTCAGACCTTTAATGACCTAAGTGTGGCCTATAGGGAGCTGCACTGGCTCACTCCTCACTCTCCCTCACCAGATATCTGCCCTTCACCGACACATCGAGGCCATTGCCGAAGTGGCTGCCATGTGTGGGGTCAACATCATCTGTTTCCAGGAAGCTTGGAGTAAGTCTCTGTGGGGCTGTCTTACTTCCACCTGGTCCTGTTGCTGCTCTCCATGTCCAGCCTCTGCCCCTGTGTCTGCGGACCTGCCTCTTCCTTGTCCTGCTACAGCTCCCCTCCTCAGACCATGGTACCTCCTGTCCCCTCCATCTGCATCCTGTCCCCTGTTCTAGTCTTCTTAACCCTGCTCACCCCTTGAGTCCCCACTCTGAACCGCCTCCCTGACCTCTACTCCTAGACAAGCTAGGTCCTCTCTCATAGATTAAGATGTTTGTCAAAGCTATATATGCTCTGCAAGTTTGTAGCACCTCTTCTACCCCACTCCAATGTCCAGATACCCTGTGGTGGTGAGAAATGTGTGCCTTTCAATCCTTTCTGCTAGTTACTCAAATTTCTGTCCAGTCTAGAAACTTGGATCTTTCTGGTCTAGAGAATTGTCCTGGAGAAGGTGTAGCCAGAATGCTCCTTGAAGATGAAGATGATAATATGTCATTTCACAAGCTTTGGGTGTACTTAGAGAGGGGCATCATGCTTGGGCATCACACTTGATCATGTTCTGTACGTGGCTTCAGATGGTGTGAACAGTAGCCAGTTCCTTCCTGTCCCCCATTTGCTCTCCAAGGAGACTGAGCTCTACAGTGATGTGATTGAAGTTCCTCCACAAGGTTCCCTGTGGGCCTTTCACGATAACTGTGCAGAATGTCGACATTCTCTGAAATGTCCACAGTCTGGATGCTTAGAATAGTCTTCATTTTTGCCGTAAATGTGGCAAAGAGGGCACTCAATTCTTAATTCAGTCTACAAACTTGGGTCTTTCTGATCTAGGACACTTTCTTATATCACTTCATCAGTCACTTTCTCTGCTAAGCTTTCCCCTCTCCCTGCTATCCCAGTTTCTAGCAGTGTCGGGTGGGGCTACGGAGACCTGGTGGCATAGTTCACAGGGAACTGTGCTGATACCCAAAGGCCATACAACAGCTGCCCCTCAGGAGAAGGAGGGACAATCTCCTTCTGCGCAATTTACACCCTGTGCCAGCCTGCCGGAGGCCTGTGAGTGGACGCAGTAATTTTTAGCATGTCTAGCCCATAGACTAGTGCCCTAATTTTCTTACATGCTGTGTCCTATTCTTTCCTCTGTGCCTCCTTGCTCAGTTTTTTTGGTGTATTTCCTGTAATTGGTCATTTAGTCCTTCTGGTCAGCCTTGATCTCTGCATCATATGTTCATTTACAGATGTTCTTTTGGTGATCTGAACACTGTCATTCTTGTGCCTCACTTTTTCAGAATTGCAGTCCCTTCTCTTTCCCCTAAGGATAATTTGTATGTTGCTGTTGTTATGTGTCGTCTGGTTGACCGTGATTCCCAGCGACCCTGTGAACTGGAACGCTGTCCCATCCTGTGCCATTCTCACCCTCTCTGACACACTTGGGCCCGTTGCTGCAGTCATTGTGTCAGTCAGTCTCATTGAGGGTCTTCCTCTCATAGGCTGACCTTCCACCTTTCTAAGCATCATGTCCTTTTCCAAAAACTGGTCCCTCCTGACAATGTGCACAAAGTATGGAGACGAACTTTCATCATCCTCGCCTCTTAGGGGCACCCTGGCTGCCCTTTCTCCAGACAGAGTTATTTACACAATACTTTTTAGCCCTACAGAGTCCCTACTTCCAGTTGGTCTTCTTTCTGAGCATATTTTATAACTAAGCATTAAAGTGCTGATCCCTGCCTCAGAGGTTGCGGACAGCTCACCTCTGACGTCAGACCAATGACTGCTAGCAGGTCGTGCTGCTGGTATCTTCCACTCATTCTGGCTGCTCACTTCCCGGGGAAGAGGCCTTGGAACTTGGGCCAAGAAGGAAGAGAGCCTATTAACACATATCCCCACCCTGCATCTGCCCTGCCTCGCCCGGGCTGACCTTCTGGTGAGCTCTCAGGAGAGCCAACCTCATGCCTTCTCTGGGCAACGGGCCAGTGTCCATTCTAAGCTGGGGGAGGGTCTTCTTAAGTAGGTCTGTTTGCCCCCTCCGCAACCTCCACCTTCAGGCCTTTAGTTATCAAGGGAGACTCTGTGGAGGGCTGCCCACTCCTCCAGGCTGTAGACCCCCAACCTATCCAGCTCTCTGACCTGTGGCTGACCTCCCAGCCCTGTGGACAGCTTTGTGTGAGAATCCCTTCACAAAAGCCGGGCCCCAACTGCAGGCCTGGCGCACACAGGCTCCTTCCGGTATCTTGTAATAGCTTTGTGTACTGGCACGTCTCCCCAGGGCTCCTGTTTCTTCCTCACCTTGGTCTGTCTGTTTTTGCTGTCCTTACCCCTCACCTGTTTTATAATCAATGACTATGACAGTCTCTGGGCCGTGCGAGGCGCTGAGAAGTATTTATGAGGCAGAGGTTCAACAACCTATCCCCCTTCTTAGGCATGGAAATCTCCTGCTTGCGTTATAAGGCCTGCCTGTCTACCCTTTCTGTGTGGATCTGGGGCCTGTTCTTGCAGCCCTGGGAGTACCGCTCATGCCCAGTCCCCGGCCACTGTGCCCACTGGAGCGGCCTCTTGCTCACTGCATGAGCAGGGACTGGTCCTTCAGCTTGAAAACTTCGCAGCCAGTCCTTGCAAGTTTGTTTGTGTTAGAGTGACTGTGTAAACAGGAAGAGAAGATACGAAAATGGAGATGAGAAATTTGGAGCTGGTGAAGAAATGGAAGGTGGGGTTCCCTTGGGGCTCCAAGTCTCTCCTGATGTTCTGAAAGCTGAGAATGAACAGCCCTTGAGAGACATTCATGTCATCAACAGCTTATTTTCTTGGCCTCCTTAAAATAGTCAACCCCGCTTCTCAGAGGCTGGCCCTGCTCCCACCTGCCTACCTGCCCTGTGCCCCCCTCCTGCCTGCCCTGTGCCTTCCTGCCTACCTGCCCTGTGTCCCCCTACCTGCCCTGTGCCCCCT